ACTACAGGCGCCGCCACCTCGCCCGGCTAAGTTTTGGTATTTTGTAGAGAGACGGGGTTTCCACTGTGTTTAGCCAGGGATGGTCCTCGATTCCTGACTCCGTGATACCGCCCTCCTCGGCCCTCCCAAGTGCTTGGATTACAGCTTGAGCCACCGCGCCCGGGCCTTTTTTTTTTTTTTTGGATGAAGTCTCGCTCTTGTCCCCCAGGACTGGAGTGCGATGGTGCGGGTCTCGCGGCTCACCGCAACTCTCGCTCTCTGGGTTTAAGCTATTCTTCCTACTTTGCCCCCCGAGTACCTGGGATTAACAGTGCCTGCCACCATGCCCTGGCTAATCTTTTATATTGTTTAGTAGAAACAGGGTTTTGCCTATTGGCCAGGCTGGTCTAGAAACTCCTGACCTCAAGGGTGATCCACCTGCCTACAGCCTCCGAAAGTACTGGGATTACAGGTGGTGAGCCCACTGGCGCCGGCCAGGTGATCCACCTGCCTGGGCCTCCAAAAGTGCTGGGATTACAGGTGTGGAGCCACCACGCCCGGACTATAGGCAAACTTTTGTAGTTACGTTAGGTGGTGATAAGTTCCTCAGTGGGAAATAAATTGCGGCAAGGGAGGCAGGGAAGAATGTGTGCAACAAGGTTTAGAGAAGGTGGCTGGCCGGGCGCGGTGGCTCACGGCTGTAATCCCAGCACTTTGGGAGGCCAGATGGGCGGATCCACGAGGTCAGGAGATCGGACTCCTGGCTAACACGGTGAAACCCCGTCTCTACTAAAAAAAATACAAAAACTAGGCGGCGAGTGGGGTGGGCGCCTATAGTCCCAGCTACTTGGGAGCTGAGGCAGGGAATGGCGTGAACCCGGGAGGTGGAGCTTGCAGTGAGCCTGAGATCCCGCCACTGCACTCCAGCCTGGGGCGACAGAGCGAGACCTCCGTCTGAAAAAAAAAAGAAGAGAGAGAAAGGTGGCAGGAAAGGCCTCACTGAAAGTGGGTTCACATCTGACTACAGACCTGAAAGTTAATTTAGTGGCAGTTGTGAAAATGGAGAGAGAGGAAATGATCCCCAGGCTGAGTTGGCCTTGTTGGGAGCATGCTAAGACTCACTACAGGTCCAGGGCTGTTATAATCATTTGACTCTCCTAAGGCGATAAGAAGAGCAGGGCAGGGCCTTCAGGGGCCTTACCAGGGACCTTGCCCCGCCCACTTCAGCTGCCTTCTTTCTTATCCTTGACTCCTGGCCTTGCCCTCACTTTTGCCACTCACTTCTGGTCTTTCTTCCCTGTAGTCCTAAGATTTTCCAAAAGACCAAGTGCAGCATCTGTAACAGTGCCTTGGAGTTGCCCTCAGTCCACTTCCTGTGTGGCCACTCCTTCCACCAACATTGCTTTGAGAGTTACTCGGAAAGTGATGCTGACTGTCCCACCTGCCTCCCTGAAAACCGGAAGGTCATGGATATGATCCGGGCCCAGGAACAGAAACGAGATCTCCATGATCAATTCCAGCATCAGGTGGGGATGAGTGGGCTAGATGGGCCAGGGGATTCCCACTAGTGTCACAGAGTCACTGGAGGGCTTGTTTCCTTATCTCCTCCTCATTTGAGAAACAGGCACTTTGATTCTGATTGGTACTCCTTCCCTCCTCTTCTCCTGCAGCTCAAGTGCTCCAATGACAGCTTTTCTGTGATTGCTGACTACTTTGGCAGAGGTGTTTTCAACAAATTGACTCTGCTGACCGACCCTCCCACAGCCAGACTGACCTCCAGCCTGGAGGCTGGGCTGCAGCGCGACCTGCTCATGCACTCCAGGAGGGGCACTTAAGCAGCCTGGAGGAAGATGTGGGCAACAGTGGAGGACCGAGAGGACAGACACAATGGGACCTGAGCGGGCGTTACACAGAAGGCTGGCTGACATGCCCAGGGCTCCACTCTCATCTAATGTCACAGCCCTCAGAACTAAAGCAGACTTTCTTTCCCTGCCTTCTTATTTAGCCAGCCTGCCATCCCTCCTCTTCACTAGCAGTGTAGATCATTCCAGATCAGTGGGGGAGGGCACCTCAGCAACCTCTGAGTGTGGACAATAGCTGCTTTATTCTCTATCCAAGAGCACCAGGCTGTGCTTGGGTCCTTGCTCGCAGAGTCTATAAATAAAAGAATATAATGATTTGGGAGCTTAAGGATTTTTTTCTGGGGACTTCCTGGTGATTCTTAACTGCATGATGGACTTCCTTCCCTCTGCTCTCCTGGCATTCCACTTCCCTCCCATGGTGTTCTTGGAGACCATGTTGGCTCAGTCTCGTTCCGGTAATGGGTGGGGCCTGTGGCATTGCGTACAGTTCAATTTACTGAAGAACCTCTGCAAAAGACCTAATGACTGAGCTCCAGGAGCAGCCTGGACCAAAACACACAAAACAACTCTTGCTCTTTCCTCTTGCTGGTAATTTGGGCAAAATACTCAAGCAGGAGGCAGACTCTGGTAGGGAGCTTTGGGCTTAACCTACCTTAATAATGGGTAGGTTGGCATCTTGCTGTACTTACCACCAGATGATAAACAGGAGAAAAGGTCCTTTCTGGAAACACCTTTCCCTCTTTGAAACTGTCAGCTAAAGTTTATGTTGCTAGGTGTCCCTGTGTAATTTGGGTGGCACTGCCTGTGTGAAAATTGCTCCTATGTTGTTTTTTTCTCCACAACCTCACCTAATTTCATCTCCTATGTTGTTTAATTGGAGGAAGTATGTTTGACATTGTGGTTTAGGTAGTATTTAGGATTGCCATGGGCTGGGCGTGGTGGTTCATGCCTGTAATCCCAACACTTTGCGGGACTGAGGTGAGAGGATCACTTGAGTCCAGGAGTTCAAGACCAACCCCACAGGCAACATAGTGAGACCCCGTCTGTGCAAGAAATAAAAATAAACTAGCCCAGCCTGGTGGCGCTTGCCTGTGGTCCCAGCTACTCAGGAGGCTGAGGTGGGAGGATTGCTTGAGCCCAGGAAGTTGAGGCTGCAGTGAGCCTTGATCACACCACTGCACTCCAGCCTAGGTGACAGAGACCCTGTCTCAAAAAGTAAAAAAGAAAAAAACAGTGGCGGTATTGTAGCTGCTATGAGTAGACTTTGGATCCACTGACCTGGGTTCGAATCCTAGTTGTGCTGTTTGACTTAGGGTACATCTTACCTTCTCAACTGGTTATTATTATTTTTTTTTTTAATTTTTTTTTTTCCCAGTGGGCTTTTGGGGAACAGGTGGTATTTGGTTATGTGAACAAGTTCTTTAGTAGTAGTTTCTGAGATTTGGTGCCGATCACCCAAGCAGTGTACACTGTACCCAATGTGTAGTCTCTTATCCCTCACCCTACTCCCACTCTTTCCCCATCAATCTGTTTCTTCATCTGTGCATTAGGGATTATAACACCTACCCTATATGGCTGTTATGAAAGCCTAACAAGCAAATAGGTGTCCAGTTCTTTGTACAGTGCTAAGCACATGGTGCGGTGGCTCATGCTCGTATTCCCAGCACTCTGGGAGGCTGAAGTGGGCGGATCACCTGAGGTCAGGAGTTCGAGACCAGCCTGACCAACATGGTAAAACCCCATCTCTACTAAAAACACAAAAACTAGCTGACTGTGGTGGCGAGTGCCTGTAATCCTAGCTACTCAGGAGGCTGAGGCAGGAGAATTGCTTGAACCCAGGAGGCGGAGGTTGCGGTGAGCCGAGATTGCACCATTACACTCCACCCTGGGCAACAAGAGTGAAACTCCATCTCAAAAAAAAAAATTTAAAAAAACAAAAAAGGGGGGTCTCACTCTGCCATCCAGGCGACAGTGCAGTGGCACCACCATAGCTCACAGCTGCCTCGACTTCCTGGGCTCAAGCGATCCTCACACCTCAGCCTCCTGAGTAGCTGGGTCTACAGGCGTGTGCCACCACACTGGCTATTTTTGTATTTTTTGTAGAGATGAGGTTTTCACCATGTTGCCCAGGGTGGTCTCAAACTCCTGGGCTCAAGCAGTCTTCCTGCCTTGGCTTCCTAAAGTGCTGGGAATATAGGTGTGAGCCACTGCACCCAGCTGGGTGATTATTAATCATGATTGTTCATTATGTTCATGGGAAAGCACTTTTCCTAATAAGCTCTTGTCTCACTACAAGTATGTAGCGTTTGTGCTCCCACTTCAGTTACTTGTCTTTAGGCATGACCTTTAATCTCTCTGAACCAGTTTCCTCATCTTAAGAATTGAAATGCTGGCTGGACCAGTGGCTCACGCCTGTAATCCCAGCGTTTTAGGAGGCCAAGGTGAGATAATTGCTTGAGTCCAGGAGTTAGAGACCAGCCTGGGCAACACAGTGAGACCACCTCCCTGCTGTCTCTACAAAAAATCTAGAAATTAGCCGGACGTGGTGCTGTGCACCTGTAGTCCCAGCTACTTGGGAGGCTGAGGTGGGGGGATCGCTGAAGCCGGGAGGTCAAAGCTGCAGTGACCCGTGGTCATCCACTGCACTCTAGTCTGGGGACACAGTGAGACCCTGTATCAAAAAGAAAAATGCTGCCTACTTCAGGGATGTAGCAAAGCTAAGTTTGAACAGAGCAAAGGAAGCGCCATAGAAGCTGCACTACTTGCTCATGCCACAGCTGGGGAATGGAGAGGTCGAATGAGGAGGTCCACTCTGTCGCAATGTTCCAATTCCCGCCCAGAGGAAGGGACCTCCCCTTCGAGGGAGGGCGCCGGAAGTGACGTGGCCCTGCGGAGACCAGGAGTCAGACTGTACGACAAGCTCGGGCCCCACGTGTCCCCGGTACTCGCCGGCCGGAGCCCCCGGCTTCCCGGGGCTGGGGGACCTTAGCGGCACCCAAACACAGCCTACTTCCTAAGCGGAGCCATGTCTGGTAACGGCAATGCGGCTGCAACGGCGGTGAGTGCTGAGCCGGTGACCAGCACACTTTGGGCTTCTGGACGAGCCGTGCAGCAATTGGCCCCAGGTTGCCATCCTCAGTCGCTATTGGTCAGAACGGCTTTTTTTTTTTTTTTTTTTTGGTCCGAATAGTTTTTAAAGGGCCAGTAGTTCTGTTGCCCTCCGGAAGGAATGGGGAAATCAAGAGAGCGGTGGTGCTGGGTTAAGAGTGGAAGGATTGTCTGGAACAGAACCCCGGTCCCTGCGGGCATCTGGGTGGGATTCCCATCAGGCCTGGGATGCACGGCTCTAGATTTAGTGACCCAGACCGCGAACGTTCGTCTACTCAGACTTGGTCCTTTCATTCGAGGCTGGGCCGAGGCGGATGCAGATGCGGCCCCTTTGGGAAGACACGTTCCAATTTTGATTCAGAGGAGAGAGCATAAGCCAAGCCTCCGAACTGCACACAAACGTCTTAGAAGTGCGCCTTATTTTTGTATTACAGTGGTCTCCCAGCCACAACCAACTCTCCAAGTCCTCAGCTGAGACACACCTACTGAATTACTACCGTGGGTGGGAGGCCGCTGTGGGCCTTCCCATTACAAGCCTGCTTGCTGAGCCCTGGGCTTGTGCACAAACTGCAGAGTTGGTGGAGGCCACTGTCAGGCTGAGATAAGAAAGAGATGGGGAGCTGCTAATCTCCCCCTGTCCAGCCAGTTGGTGAGGGCTGGGATCTTTGCTCCTGCAGTCATTCCGGAGCCCTGGACTAGGAGTAGGAAGATCTGAATTGTAGCCCCAACTCTTTCTCGGTTATTATCTCTGTGACCCTGGGCAAGTCACCTCATGCCTTGGTGCCACCCGTTGCTTCTGTAACATGGTCCCAAAGGTGCCTGTCTTGTCTACCTGATAGGATTGTTGAGAGGACAACAATATGCAGAAGCAATAGCTTCAACATAGAGGTGCTCAATGTTTTATTTTTTAATGAAACGGTTTGACTTGAATATGCTGTGCACATTCAAGGAACTTAAGGAATTGTTTGAACCTAGTAGTTCTGGGACCTTAGAGTCCTTTCTGTGGGCTCCCTGTGGCCCAGAATTTTGGTGGCCACGTTTAGTATTTCAAGCCTAGCCTAATTTGCAAAGGGTCTCCCAGGGTTAATTTACTGGCGTGATCACACGGAGTAGACCAGAGTCTGAGGGCAGCAAACTGTCACCTGCTCCCACAATAGAGACCCCAGATGTTTGGGTGCAAAAGAACTCCATAGCACCCTGGCCAACATGGTGAAACCCCGTCTCTACTAAAAATATAAAAATTAGGCCGGGCACAGTGGCTCATGCCTGTAATCCTAGCACTTTGGGAGGCCAAGGCAGGTGGATTGCCTGAGCTCAGGAGTTCGAGACTAGCCTAGGGAACATGGTGAAACCCCGTTTCTACTAAAAATACAAAAAATTAGCTGGTGTGGCAGCATGCACCTGTAATCCCAGCTACTTGGGAGGCTGAGACAGGAGAATCGCTTGAACCCGGGAGGTGGACGTTGCAGTGAGCTGAGAATGTGCCACTGCACTCCAGCCTAGGCGACAGAGGGAGACTCTGTCTGAAAGAAAAAAAAAAAAAAAAAGGAACTCCATAGGATGAACATCCCATATCAGGGAATGTCGACTGTTGACAGTATCAGTATCTACAGTGGCTACTGTCTGATATAGAAAGAAATGGGATCAGGCCAGATGTGGTGGCTCAGGCCTGTAATCCCAGCGCTTTGGGAGGCTGGGGCAGGAGGATCACAAGGTCAGGAGTTCAAGACCAGCCTGGCCAACATAGTGAAACCCATCCCTACTAAAATGCAAGAATTAGCTGGGCATGGTGGTGCATGACCTTTTAGCTTGA